CCAGGTGAAAATCAACGTAACCTGATGTGGTTGGATGTGAACCGTTGAGCTCAAATTCACTTAGAACAATACCTTCACGCTTTAAAACTGTTCAGCTCACTGATTTAACTATTGCAGCCCGTTTTTTTGTTGTGTCATGAACGATAACGTTCATCAAAAGTGGGATAAAATGCGCGCGCACACACATACAAATGATTAAATTAGTCATTTTATAACCGAATGCTATTGTGCAATGGTTGTCTTTCTCCTCTTTATAAACCGGGGACTGCCCATACTGCAGCGACTCTTTTTTGTACGTTTAAGTGACCTTATTTAAGATAAAGCAATACTCAACTTGTCTCGCTAGAGTTGCTTCAGCCCCAGTGATTTTCAATTTTGTCATGATCTAGCATAGGAGCATATTTTTAATCTGATAGGAATCCAGAATCAAAACCCTAGCGTTGGGTAATACACTGTTTGTACTCATTATTCGTGTTCCAATATTGTTTCTATCCGGCAAGAGATAACTCCTTCAGATGCAGCCTGCCCCCTCCTTCGCCAGACCTTCCGCCCCTGTCCAGTTCACGCAGTTATTCTCGTTACTCATTTCTTATGGCACATATATGACAGTCTGAATATGAAAACTTTTCTGTTTATATGAAGATGGATTAGATGCTGTTTGAAGAAAGCAGTTCACTGTCAACTATCTGTGTGATCTGTCCTAAATAGCGTATTGGTGTTTGTTCTCACAAGATTGATTAGCGAAAGATAACACGGCACTGACTAGCGTTCCGCTGTGACTTTCGTGGATAAGCTATGCTCATCTAACCGCAAAAATGCCTTCCGTTCTATGTGAATCATCTCCAATCTAACTGTGCTGCAGTTTATCACCCTAACCATATATGTATGATATCAATTCTCATTGCTTCTTTTCCTTTTAGAAACTACCTATCGTATCTTTAGTGTACCATGTCTAGATTAGCTCACTGAACTGTTTATATTCACCAGGCACCGCTGATGATCATGGTGGGAATTTAACGATTTCCCAAGGATTGAAACCCACGCCCAATCCCATCAACAGGGCCTGTGAACAATCGAAGGGGATAATCCAAACATGATGCGCTAAATTAATTGAGCCATGCGCACATGGTGATCGCCGTCGACCGTGTAGCTCAGGGGTAACGGTTTGAATTCCCTAACCAAGTATTAGCGGTTCGAGTCCTGACAGGGACACAAAATGTAAGCATTGATAACGAGTTCCAAACAGGATGAAACAGCTGTCCAATGGTCATTGTCGGTAATCACAGGGAGTTTGATCGTACTTCTTAGCTTGCTTTGATCTTAAACCAACCAGAAGGCACTGAAAGATATTTTTTATATCACATTCTAATCGAACAATTCTGTTATCTTTCTTACTTATGGACTAAGTACTTCTCGCCTGATTAAAAACTGAACTTTTCGACAAAAGAATATGCTTTCACCCCACCCCAAACACACAATATTTAAAGCCTATCAAATATGGAAGCGTGGCTTAGCCGCACGCCCAGCCCAGACATTATTTGCTTGATCGAAGTGATGTTATGTGCGTATCCTGAAGTTCATCCAGACGAGCATCACAGATTCGACGTATCTCCGGAACTCAGCTGCGATACTGAGTGCAGTAGAAGGATAAGTGATTTTTCACAAATTTTCACTGTCTCCGAAACGTTCAGAGGAGACAAACGCATATTGAGTGGATCGACAAACACTCGTGTGTCGATAAGTGCGTTTATTCGGAACGGGGCACAATCTGGATTTGCAATGTGAGAGCAAACTAGAGGCTAGTTACCGGGACCAAATACAGAGCGAGAGATTGAGAGTGAGAAAGGTAAAGAGTTGACTTTCAATCTGTCTCTCCCCACATAGATGAGTCGACAGTTCACAGCGCCTTACATGCACTCACTCCTCCGCACCCCGAGCGGCCTTATTTCTTTCCATGGGGCCTGTCGAACTATCGTTCAATCGTGCTCAGGCAAAACGATAAAGTGTATGCTAATCAGTACGATGTGGTTTGGAATTGGCTAGTCGTATAATCGTGAATTCTTCAACCGCGTCTGAGGGGGAGGGGCATACTTTAGCCGCCAAAAATTTCGGACCAAATAGTGTAACAGCAAATAGACATTTTTAACTAGGTTGGTGAAATCACTAAAATTATAATCTTGGACGGAAATTTTTGAATCAATTTACATACTAATTGTTTGTTTGTTTAAATCGGATCAATTTGCACCTCTCCATGGAACAGTCACAATGATTCTGACATGAAATCGTTTCTCGCGAATGATACAGGAAACGGGGCTGAAATTATATTCCATCCAAAGCCCCGAACTTAACAGACATTTTCATTTATAAAACAATTTTGTGTTTGGAAAACTTCTCTCCATTCCCGGTTAGCTGAGACCAAGTGATGATCTTCATCACTGGTCGGTACCAGATTTATGTATCCTGGTGAGCCGCGAACGAATGTCCTGCGTGACCAGCAAGTGAATGTCCTTCAAACAGGACACACCTTTTGATATTTTGTTAGCGCACTGAATGTCTATGCTTGCACACACACACACACAGAACCACGTATCAGCATACACATACGCAAATAAATAAACCTACTTCCTTGGTTAGGCGAATCGAACCGAAATTCGAAGTTGCACTGATTATAATTTCAATGGTATCCGTATTGTGTGCTATTTGCGTCAATGGTTCGAAATCCCTAAGGGAAGTTTGATAAAGAGGATAGAATGGTGAAAACAAACTCGTTTCTTTCAATGCTTGATCACCACCAAATCGGGACAACTGATCTTTTCGGAGAGGAGCGTGAGGGGAGCGTATGATGCGATTGGGTAAGGGATTCTCATCGTCACAGACTACCAGGATCGGGTTCGGTGTGGTGATCAAATGTAAACTACGATAGAACCAAATTTGTTGATTCATCCGCATACTTTGAGGTGTTTCATGTGAGAGTGGTTTACAGAGGAGTTTGACCGCTAGAACAGCTTGTTCTGAACTTAGTGTGGACAGTAGGAGTTTGACAATTGAATTTCATCACTTCCTGTCTTGCTACCACACAAGAATCAACTGAATTTGAAAGTAGTGACAACAGAAACAGTCGGATGGTGCAACAGCTTGGCAGTGGAATAATGACTCCACCCGGATTTTGAATATTACAACACTGACAAGATCGATGACCTTTCTCTGTGTAGACCAGTGATACAGAGTTGAGGGGCTCCAAAATTTATCCCAAAAGTGGATATAGTAGTCGAGATTGAGGCGTCTTGTGTACACTGAACATCCAGCGGATTATGTTTTTGAATTTTTGAGAATTGTGCGTAGACCAATCTCCCCATTTCGATCACAACTTATGATTTATTTCGTCTTGGAAAAAAGAAATCTATAACTTAAAACTTTCTCCTGTGGACTTCACTGATGAATGCTGGACAGAGCCGCGTCCAAAATCTGAGGATTGATTTGAACGATTTAAGTAACAGTGTTGTATCTGTAGATGCCATTTCGGGAAAGTAGGTTGGATAATGCAGAACGTGTGACAGCTTGAGATTGAATAGTGGAAAGATTATCATATGGTGAGTGGTGACGATGGAGTAGAANTAGAAATGATTTGTTGTGAAACACTTTCACAAAGTGCTGTACACCCTATTGTGGAGATGGTACATCATGGGGTATGAGAGGAACAAGACTGATAATCAACAGTCAGCGGCGAAGCAAACTGAAGTAGTTTTTAAGAAGATGGGCAAAAGTGATAGAGGAACAAAAAAATAAAGAAAACCAGAATAAATAAAAAAGGTGAAACTAGCTCGTGTGTACTCCTGAATACTCTGAGTTTTCGCGTGTTTTATCGCAGTCGAAATTTATTCACACAGTTCTGAATATGCGCGCGGAAGCTTGGTCGTAAATATTTAACAGAATCTTCCCTAGTTAGACATTGTACACTGATTTCGCAGTGGGCTTGAGAGGATAAGCGCAGCCGGCGTGCTGAAACAGGCATTTGAAGCATTCAGGCAAATCGATGGCCAATCTAGACCAACATATTAAAAAAAAATCTACAAATAGAGAACAGAATGCTGGAGAATTCTCGGTTGTATTCAGTCACAGAAATAACCTGCCGGTGAGCTCTATCGTCTGTATGCTCAAATATCTGGGCTGGGGCGAGAGAGGGCGCTCATTGCAAGTAGAAATAAGAAGCACCAACAAAACGCGCTGTGTGAACTATTCCTGAATTATTCACAATCGATTTTGATGTTCCCGTAGCCGGTCACTTGCACTGAATTCTATCCTCCCGGTGGTGGTACACCAGCCAAACAAGTAAATGTTTGGGGGAACCAAATGGATAAAAGAAGGTGGATCCTTTTCAACAAATAGCAGACTTGATCATTGCCAGAGATGACTTTTACCAGACGGAGTTTGAAAAATTAAAGCTTCAAGAAAACATAACTAAGTATGGAACAAATGAGAAAGGTGCCAAAATTATCGGTTTGACAATAGAATTAACGGTGGGAAACGGTGGCTAGAACATGTAAAGTTTGGTGATGTTGCGGTGTTTTCCGAGCTGGAAGTGTTGTTCGGCAACAACAACATCCGCATCCTGAGCTACAATCATTCTATATTGTTCATTTCAAACTGACTACAAATGCGAGTGATTTTCAGAAATGTTACCTAATCAGGGTCAAGGAGATGGATGTCCTAGGTGAACTTAAAAAAACCGATTCAAAATGCAAATGGGGCGAGCGGCCAGAGGTAGCCAACCGCATCTTAGGACCCAATGGGGTAGCTGAGCTACGAGTTATCCTACGAGATTTTTGTTCAAATGTGTGATAATACGAATATCACGGAAATAAAATTATGGTCTATCTCGACAAAAAATCCAAACTTGATGGACGTTGAACAATTACAACTCAGTCAACATTATTATATATAAATATATATATATATATATATTACATATTATATTTGCTTTTTCTTTGTTGATTTTCACCATGATGTACTACTTCTGCTGCCAACACAGCGAATCCCAAGATGGCGCTGAAACCATAGTCGTACGCCAAAGAGTCGTCATAAATCAACCTACTGGTCGGGTCACCAAGCGTCAATCATGAAACCACAAGAAACTGTCAACCTAATATGGACCGGGTCAAACTCTCAGAATAAAGAACTCATAGCCCGCTGCATGCAGAGTTCATTTTCGCAGGGAGCGGAGCGTTGTGAGAAACTAATCATCTTTGAGGAGTAGGTAACATAGTTGATGATTACTTACGACGATCAAAAATAAAGAAGACCATCGAGGGCAAATTGCTGTTTCTCAGGGAATGACTATCCATTGCAAAACGTTTATTACCCGTCGTGTGGTCAGAAACTGCGATGGTATGTTTCTGATGAGATTTTCTGTGTGATGTATGCCGAATTACTGATGTCTCATCTGTTATCCTCAATAAACAATTATCCTCGATCAGTAGTAGTAGCAGTAGTAGTAGTAGTAATAGTAGTAGTAGTAGTAGTAGTAGTAGTAGTAGTAGTAGTAGTAGTAGTAACATTACTCGCTTTGGTTCGGAGTACACTCCCCTTTTGTGGCCTCACCTTCACATGCGCCGTTCCTTGTTTACTTTAACTTCCGTCTATCCTAGCAATGGTACGGTAAGAATTTGGTGGTCCAGTGCTCCGATCTAACGTNNNCTGTGCGTTGCAGCTTCAAGGAGAACAATGAATAGCCAGTAATTTGGGCCAACTGAATTCACCGTGGCCCGTACGGGAATACTATGTCTACAAGAACAATGATTCTGATTGGTTAACACATGCTTAACCAGTGATATTTGATTATGCATCTTAGTTGGTCCCTTTGTTTTCTTCCATTAAAGCAACCTCTACCTAACTGACATCCGTCATGCACCTTGGGATCGATAAATTCCGGTAGCGGATTGCGAGTGCGATTGTAACGGCTGATCTGCAAATATTAAGCATACTACAACTCAGTTGTGGTCTCAGGCGACCGAGTAGCGGGTATGGTAATTCGCAACCGCTAGATAAAGTGAATGACTGTGGACTATTTGCACCTAGTTGGCTGTTAATAGACTCATGTTAGTGCGCCACTCCGGAGTGCAGACTCTTATGAAAGGGAAATTCAAAGTAACGTTCATTTTTTGCTCACCACTTTTCTTCTCTGGAACACCGAAATCGCTTTCATACGAGTAATGTCAGTTCAAGCTTTTCTTCACACTCTTCAACTTTCCTTTGGGGGTCACTCAATGTCCAAACGGAAGCATCCCCTTTAGAATTGTCCAGAGCAGATAACCATTTAACCTTGAAATCATAAAAGTGTACTGAAAGGTGAAAACTGGTTTACGTCACCAGCTTGACTTAGTAGCTCAAGTA